CACGCCTCCCCCACCTCACCCCTCTACACTCGCCTGTGGGAGCCTATGCGCGAGCCTCTATGTTCCCATTGGCTGCTCACAACATTGCAGTGTCTTCCCTTTTAATGCCTGCACACAGGTGCATATTTGTCCGGTCGGGCGGCTGCATGGCGCTCCCTGCCTCTGTTCCGCCATTAGGCTTATTACTTTCTTTTTTGTGTATTGCTTCCTTCTTCCTCATCATTTTATCCCCGCCCCCTCCCTCCCCTCAAGTTGTACCTTCGTTGACTGGGTTTTGGGGTTGGCTATATTTATCTGTATACATTTGTGACTCCGCTGTTACCGCGATATTTGTCAACAGCGTCTCATTTGGAAGACCTGGGTTGATGGTGTTTTGGGTGCGCGGGACACTGCTTCCAACAAACTCCATCATGACCTTTCCCATTGTGTATCACTAATTTGGTATCACTAGTAGAGTCTCGCCTATCTACCAGACGTGAACGCTCGCCTGGTTGTTTAGAGGACTATGTTCCACCTCATGGCTCAGGTCAATTGGCCTCGCCAACAAACTGAGATACATGTACAAATAGGGAACTCAAGGGCAACCCACTTACATACCCGCCAAATATACTTATACTGATAGGATGGAGAACCTATCGGGAGCCTGTCGAAAAAGCGCATGATACACGGAATCCAACGAAGGAGTTTCTGAAAAACTGGAAACGCCCGTTTACAACCAAAGAGGTTGAGTTAGGGTTGGTATATCAGGAGGAAGCAGAGGTAGCCATAATGAATGTGTGACAATTAGCTCAACCGGACGGGTGTTCCCCGTTGCCCTCAAATAGATGTGTCGCCCTAAGAAGGTATATAGTGTTTAAACAGTGATTGTATTTAGAGTACTACAATCCTCAGGCCAAATCCGAACATTAAGGTAAAAGTATGAAGGCACCAGTGAGAGCGATTTGTTGTGAACCGAACCCTAAGTTGCTGTCTTAGACGACATTGGCCACTGACAAAGCCAGGACTAGTGTAGATGGTGTTCAGTTAAGTTCTCTCCTGCTGAGTCCAAAAGCAAATTCTCATGTGGACGCAAAGTGAGAAAGTAGGTCCATCCGTCCGGCTGACAAGGACAGGATCAGAAACAAAAGAACACCAAGCTGACTGCAAAATAGATCGTTCACCACTGAGGTTGTCCTGTGTAAGGAACGGGTGGCAGCTGCTTTTATGTGATGGTTGGGTAAGTTCATGTGGTGTGTAATTGGTGTGTTGCTATGCTCGAGGGGTGTCGCGTATGGAGGCCCCTAGTGAATCGGCGGAGAGGTGTCCAAGTACCCCGTTGGCAGCCGCGACTGGTTTGGACGCGCATGGGGAAGTCGGTCAAGGGTCAGCGAGTCGGAAACAGCTGCCTGTACAGTTGCATAGCGTTGAGGCAGCCGGCATTAAACAGGGAAGTTGGACAGCAGTATTGGCTGTCCGCCACAGGTGTTACGAAGTGTGATTGATGGAGAACGCAAAGGCCAGAGTTGCAGAGATAATCTTCACTGTTGCGGGAAAGCATTTAATCCTGCCAGCCGTTGGTGCAGTTAACCCCATTGCGAGTAGTACCTGTACACTACTGGTCGCGTCGCTCTCGGACTGTGGCCGATCGATGACGGAAAGGCTGTTCGGTGCCAACGTTCAACTTATTTGATTTTACCAGAGGATAATTAAGGTGTGTGCTTTTGAACTCCTGATTGTTTACACGCAACGAAAGTATGTCAAAGAGGGTAGGGCTTTCTTGTGAGGCCTCCTAGAAAATAATTTCTCCCACCAAGTTACTTGCTGAATTCATGGCTAAAGCGGTGGGGTTAACCAGGGGCCGTTTGGCTGCAGTAAAAATGCGCAATAATAAGGCAATTAAAGGCGTTTATAATCGTTTTAATTAAATAAAGATTAATTGTATTTCGCTTGCTTTAGCGTGTGCCCGGTGAATGAGATGTTAGATGCATACCCATGCTCTAAATGTATTCGCGCAGGTGGAGAGGACAACCTCGTCGGAAATAGTGTTCCACGCTGCAATCACTGTCACTGAAAGCATTTTTGCGTCCATTCATCCTTGCTTTGTCGGGGCGTAGATTTAGGAGCTGACTGTGCAAAGTGGGTGTCTTAACCTGGATAAAGAAATGGTCAGGGACAAAGCAATAATCCAGGTTATTCATAATACGTATGAGGTCCCCTCGGCGTTGCCTGTAGGAAATAGGTTGAGGGTTGACAGTCTGCTTTCATAGGGCAGTGTTCCCAGACCTTTGACCATTTTTGCCGCTCACCTCTGGGCCCTATCTGAGACGGTACAGTTTTTGACAGTCCATGCCTGTATGGCACATTCTAGATGTATTTTCAAGCAGCCAGAAAAGTATCGGTGCCTTTAAATATAAGACTGTGTGGAGACTGTAGTTGAAACCATAAAGTTAGAGAGTTTGGAGTAAATTCCAGTCAATCAAACTGTACAGACATAAAGGGGACATACGAATCTCACATAGAACGGCACACTTGATTAAACTGATTGTCCGAGCTCACTGGAGGTTTCAACAGAAGGGAATATGCAATTTCCAGGAAGCAGTTCAGAAGAAGAAGATGCAACCACTGGAACAAGAGTTATTTTCGGCCATTCGCGGTCATCGCAGCAGTAGTATAACTCACGTCATTATTTACCATCCATTTATCATTTACTGAGCTAATTTAAGTTCAAAAATTAATTTATGAGGTCACCAAAAAGCTGTGATGAAACTTCTAAAAAATAAATACGTTTTAATAAAAGACAAATAAAAGTCATTATTTTGCGTAATATTGTTCAAATTAGCTGACATTTTATCCGTAGCTTACTCCTCTATGGAAACAAACGAGTAAATAATGACATTTAAGCTACATATGTTTTAATTGGCAGCGTTATTAAAACTGTCTAACAAAAACGAAACAAATGATACCGATTGGCATTTTCTATAACTCAAACGAAAATACAGCAGGCATTTTTTATTAACATTGCAATGAAACAAAACGGAAAATATAAAAATCATTCGTCTTATGCTTAGATGCAGAAAATTATTCTTGGTGATGAGTGCGATAAGCCATTACTTTGCAGTGCTACTTACTATACGTCGACTCGGCATGCCGGAGAGAAGTTGTGTGTTCAGTTAAGTTCTCTGTTGCTGAGTCCAAAAGCAAATTCTCATGTGGACGCAAAGTGAGAAAGTACGTCCATCCGTCCGGCTGACAAGGACAGGATCAGAAACAAAAGAACACCAAGCTGACTGCAAAATAGATCGTTCACCGCTGAGGTTGTCCTGTGTAAGGAACGGGTAGCAGTGTAGGCAGGATCGAGCAATGACAGACTATCCACATTTTATACCATTGGGCTACCGAATAACGCGTAATTCAAACCTTAGAAATTGCTGATTTCCAGAACTTGAAAGTTGTTCTTAAGCATAAAGATATATACAGGCTACGAATGGACACTAGCGGCAGTCCGATCCTCAAACGGATTGCAAAGTTTTCTTCCGCATCATGTCAAGCTAATATTTGATAATAGTCTATGCCTTGGATAAGAACACAGTCAATCGACGCATGGATCTGGTGATGTCATACAGAGACTTGCACAGCCATATCCAGAAGGCAGGCACTGATCCTTTATTGATTAATAAACTTTTGAGTGTCGATTGTTCAATTAGTGACAATAGGACCACCCACAACTGCAAAC